CTGTCCTCTGATAGCAACTGTATGCAACTTATAATCTTAGACCAGGGGTTCTTAACTTTTTTGGGGGGGGCACAGACCCCTTGGGCAGTCTAGTAAAGCCTGTGAACCTCTTCTCAGCATGATGTTTTAAAATAATTTATGGAAATGCTAAATTTTAATTAGGGATTAGTAAAAGTAAAGATGTAATATTTTACCCCATCTGAGTTCCCAAATCCCCTGAAATCTACTGGGTTAAGAACACCTGTCTTAGAGAGTTACTGGGCCACTAAGAACTTAAATGATTTGTCCAAGTGATTTGCTCAGTATAAGCTATTGGCCTCTTACGTTAAGTGACCTGCCCATGACTAGCATGTCCCAGAGGCAAGACTTGGACCTGACCCCAAAGGTGGCTTTCTTTCCACTATGGTGCCTCTCATAGAAATCATTGCAACATGAAATAATACATGATAAGTTCACTAGAGAGGGAGTAAAGAAATTGTTATATAAATTTCAAGGAAGGAAAAGTAGTTGACTGGGGGATTAGGGAAGACTGCCTAGAGAGGGCCCTTATAATAATCCAGCACCTCACAAAGTACCCAGAACACAGGAGGCACTTGGTGACTAGCTAATTGACTGGTAATGAGGGCCTGTACTGAGGTGGTAGAATTTAATTAAATGAAGAGAAAGAACTGGATGAAAGAAATAGTGTGAAGGTAGAATCAGTAGGATTTATTACCTAGTAAGATGTGGCAAGTGAGGAAGAAGGAAGAATCAAAGGTGATTGAGATTGTGCATGTGGCTACCTAGGTGAATGGTGGTGTCACAAATAGAATAATCCAAATGGGAAGTAAGAAGAAGAAATGGATTTGTGGGAATGGAAACCCAGTTTGGGGCATGTTGGTTTTGAGGTACCAGCAAGAATACCCAGTGGAGAGTACCCGATTGTAGGTAATTGGATGCAGGGGTCTGGCACTTAGAAGAAGGGTAGAGGGATTGGGGCATGGAGACAGATCTGGAAGTCATCTGTATGGAAGAGATCACTGAAGCCATGGGAGTTAATGAGATTCCTCAGAGGAGTGTAGAGAGGGAAGACAAAAGAGCTGATGAAGTCCTGTTGGGGGACAATCACGCTATGGACTGGGAAGAGGGTGAAGGAGAAAGACAAGGAACAGTTAGAGAGAGCTGCGAGGAAAACCAGGGGCCAGTGGTGACTCAGAAGGCCAGGGAAGAGAGAAGGATTCATATGCCATTTTACTTGGCTAGTTTGACTTGATAAATGGTGTACCAAATTTCTAGAGAAGTGGACTCAATTGAATAAAGGCCACGTACATGCTATGATTCACATAAAGCCTTAAATAAAAGGTTTTCTTGTTTTTTTTAATATCTAAGTAATATTTTATTTCTCCTCCCATTACATGTAAAAACAATTTTTAACATTTGTTATTTAAGTTTTGAGTTCCAAATTCTATCCCTCCCTCTCTTTCCTACATCTCCAGGTTTTCTTCTTGAATATGGAAGCAATTTGCCCTTGTCTAGAATTTTTCTACAGTTGTCCTTAGCAATAGTACTTAACCCATAGGATATAAATTTATGCACAAGTACATACATATGCACAAATTGTGTATTTATGTGCCCACACACATCTCACTAACTGGGGATCACATGGCCTTGCATTGGCCAATTATAATGAAGAAAAGTATTTCACAGGAATGATGACAATGGAATAGCTTATAAAATTCTCTTGGGAAGTTACTATAATGAAAAAAAATAGACAATTTAATTAAGCTGTGTTTGGACGACTGAGTCTAGTTTTCTACTCAAAATTAGCAGAGAGCTTCAATTTGTTTTTATGCTAAGACATTAGGTGTATTGAAATTGAACTGAATTAAATTGAGATTTAATTAAGAGTTTTTGCTAGTATATACAGTGCAATTGGGGGTTTTATTGTTTTTAAGGGTTTCTAATAGCAAATATATTTTTAAAACTCAACTTTTTTGGAGAAGAACATTTAGGGAGGCAGTATAATGAGATGAAATAAGAATTGGGCTTGGAATTTAGAGAGCATAAGGCCTGGTACTGGCCTTGTCACTAAGTTGTGAAATCAGGCAAATAATTTTCCTTGTCTGGGCCTCAGTTTCCTCATTTGTAAAATGAAGGGGCTGGATCAGGGTATAAAGATTTGCTCACTAAACTTGGCAGGGAGGGTAATACAGGGGAAAGAGATGTGGTTACAGACCTAGAAGATCTGAGTTCAAATCCTGAGTGACCTGGGGGTGGGGCACAGAAATGGGGTTGAGCTCAGTTTCTTCCTCTTTAAAAGGATGGGGTTGTAGGAGATGACCTCTGAGGTTCCTTCCAGCTCTAGATATGGGATGACTATATAATTCTAGGATTCCGTAATCCCGGATGAAAAATGTGCTAACAATGAGAGCACTGAACTAGGAGTCCAAAGCTCTGGCTTTTATCTCTGGTTCTGCCCCTAACTTGCTGTGTGATGTTGGGTAAACCTCTCTGAACCTCAGTTTCCTTATCTGTCAACTGGGGAATGTAATATTTGCCTTGCCCATTTTGTAGGTTTGTTGCAAGTATCGGATAAGGTAATTAATATACATGAAAATGCTTTGAAAAGCATAAAATGTCTATACATGTAAACTGTTATGCTTATTATGAACAATGACACATAATAAAAATTAATGGAATTTTTCAAGGAACTGCTTGAGACTTCTCAACTAAACTCACAGCAGTCACAGACTTGAGCAGTATGACTCTTTATATGGTGATTATTTACATGTAGTGCAGTCATTAAAAGACTTCATGTGCTTTTATATTAGCCCTCGGTGCCTTTTGGCTATAACTCTCTAATGTGTACAGCTAGCTAGGAAGTAAATCTGGAAGGTCACCCCTTATGAGAAGCATATTGCCTTCTGCACCACGGGATAGCTGATTAACCATGGCTGTGACCGCCTCTCTATTTGTCTGTTGTTAGAGGCTGGAGGACTCCCTTTTGTTTAAGGGAGGGTGCAGAAGTGTTGATAGCTTCAGTGGGGCTGAGGGTGGGTGGGGATAGAGGTGAGTCGGGTAGATAACAGTGTAAAGCGAACCTTCCCTGAGCAACCAGGGAGGCTAGACCGTGGCATCCGGGAAAAGCACCAGTCAGAGGACCTGGATTCAAATCCCAAATGTGCTAATAGCTAGCTAAGTGGCCTTAGACAAGTCACTTCTTTGTTTGTAAAAGGGGAAGAGCTCTCAGGTCCTTTCAGGCTCTGGTTCCTATGAAGCAGCCTGGTTCAGAAGCAGAGAGCCAGAGACAGGGAGGACAATGCCTGCCTCTCAAAGTTTTTCCTGTAGAAGAGCTAATAGTGAGTAATAGTAATTCAGGATGGCTTGGCTGGATGGTATAGATAGAGACACTTATTCCTTAAGTGCCCTGAAGAAGCTGAGTGCCTGCTCAGTAACCTTAGGGAAGAATTCTGATTCCTTAAATAACTATAGTACATTAGCAGAGCATTGTTTCATAAAAGCTAAGAGCCATCAAGATCCTGGGCTGCCTAGGAGCAGCTAACAGGATGCCAAGAGCTACAGAAAGGGTCCCGGGCCTGGGAACCTTTGAAAGTTGAAATCACCAGCATCTGGTTTGTGAATTATCCCAGAGAGGTGGCTGAGGCCCTTGCGTTAGGATTGTGGTAAGCATGCTGGACCTAGAGTCAGGAAGACTCATCTTCCCGAGTTCAAATCTAGCCTCAGACACTAGCTGAGTGACCCTGGGCAAGTCCCTTAACCCTGTTTGCCTCAGTTTTCTCATCTATAAAATGAGCTAGAGAAGGAAATGGCAAACCACTCCAGTATCTTTGCTAAGAACGCCCCAAATAGGGTCACAGAGAGTCAGATGTGACTGAAACGACTGAATAACAAAGGGAAAGAGAGGCTTTAGAATAGGGGTTGGGCAATCTGCAGCCTTGAGGCCACATGTGGCCTTCTACATCCTTAAGGTGGCCTTTTGGCTGAATCCAAATTTTACAGAACAAATCCTGAGGCCACATGTGGCCTTCTACATCCTCAAGTGCAGCCTTTTGACTGAATCCAAATTTCACAATCCAGATTGTTCTGTAAAATTTGGATTCCATCAAAAGGCCACACTTAAGGATCTAAAAGGCCATATCTAGTAGGTTCCCCACCCCTGCTTTAGGAGGATGCTACCTATCTCACGATTGGATGTGGTAGAACCTCTAGAATTCTGGGTGAGAGTGTGAGCCAAAGGAATTGGGGAGTTACCTCACTCTTAGATTCCTACTGGGGTTATGGCTTATGAAGGAAGGTTAAGGAAGCATAGACTCCTGTGGGTCTCCTTTTCTAAGGACTAATGACACCCAGCCCTGTGGGAAGTCCGTGACTGGTTTGGGAATAATAATAATTCATATTTCTATAGCACTTTAAGGGCTACAAAGCATTTTCCCCAAAATAACCCTCTAAGGCAGGTAGCATAGTAGCATTATGCTCAGTTTATAGGTGAGCAAATGTAGACTCGGAAAGGTATGAGAGTCCTAGGAAGTCAAAGGAAAATAAAATGAGCACGATTTAATGCATCAAAGTGTGACCCATTTGTTACATGGAGCAGCGCAGCAGGGGCTCAGGATAGGTGACTAGAGTGAAACAAGTCCATCTTAGTAGGGGGGAGGGGTTTGAGAAGGTCACAGCTCAGAATTAAGCCTCTGGTATTGAGCTTTGGGTGGGCTCTGTGGAACCCTGGAGAGCTACAGCATGTAAACTTCAGCTAATTACAGTTTGCATATAACTGCTGTGAGCTGGGAGGGAAGAGATCTGATTCATCCTGGACCTCTCTGTAGCTCTCTGGATGACCATAGGCAGATCGCATCCCTTTCTGAGGCCCATTTTCACCTGTAAAATGAAAGTGGTTGGACTAGTTAATCTCCATGGCCTTTTCTACCCGGAACTCCCTGTGAATCCGGTTCCTCCCTTTACCCCTTCCATCCGTGAAGGTTTCCTTTCCCCGTCTTTCACAGTCAGAGGTATTTGATAGGCAAGGACGTTCCTTCTCAGAGCAGGTTGTCCGTTTCCTGCAGGACAGGCTCCTTGGGTGGATTGGAGTTTTGCATGCGGCTGAGCCGGGCCTGCAGCCTCTCCTGTTCCTTTTTCAGTTCTAGATAAGAATGAGAGAAAGTGTGAAAGATGGACGTTGCCGGGAACGCCATGATCAATATTCCACTCAGGATGCTGCTGAGGGCAACCACTTGTCCTGGGACGCTCCGGGGCACCATGTCCCCGTAGCCCACGGTGGTCATGGAGATGATAGCCCACCAGTAGGAAGCTGGGATGCTGGTAAACTCGAGGACCCTCCCCGATTCGTTCTCGGCCATGTAGACTAAGGGGGAAAAGAGGGTGACGGCGACGCAGAGGAAGAGCAGGAGAAGGCCAAATTCCCGGGTGCACCGGCGCACGGTGAGACCGAGGGTCTGCAGGCCCAGGGAGTGCCTGGCAAGGCGCATGACGTACAGGATCCGTAAGGCCCTCAGGATCCGTAACACCAGGCCCACCTTCTCCAAGTAGGTGTTGCCGCTGGGCTTCTCCCTCCTTCCTGGGGCATCGTCGGATACAAAGAGTGACACGTAGTAAGGGGAAATAGCCACGATGTCGATGATGTTCAGGGGGCCCTGGAAGAATCGGCACTTGTTCCTGGCCTGGAGAAACCTCAGGCAGAACTCCAGGGAGAACCAGGCAACGCAGATACTCTCTATGATGAAAATGTAATAGCACTTCTGAGAGCATTCACCCTGTGGGGGATGGGGAGGGGAGGAAAAGAACAGACACAGAGAAGAGAGCCGATCAGTGGGCTGGGCCAGAAAGGTCAGGGCCCGCCCCTGGGAGAGTGGGGCGCGAGTCCGCAGACCTGACGCGTGCTCCTGCTGGCCCTGGGAGGAAAGACCTGCGCCGCCCTTCGGCGTCTCGGTTTCCTTTTATGTAAAATGAGCATCTCTAAGGCCCCTCCCCGCTCTGACATTCGCGTTCTAAGGTCCTTTCTGGCTCTGACCTGTGTTCTAAGGTCTCTCTCAGCTCTGACCTTCTGCGTTCTAAGGTCCCTTCCAGCTCTGACCTTCTGCGTTCTAAGGTCCCTCTCAGCTCTGACCTTCTGTGTTCTAAGGTCCCTTCCAGCTCTGACCTTCTGTGTTCTAAGGTCCCTTCCAGTTCTGACCTTCTGTGTTCTAAGGTCCCTTCCAGTTCTGGGCATTCTGTGTTCTAAGGTCCCTCCCAGCTCTGACAGTCTGTGTTCTAAGGTCCCTCCCAGCTCTGATATTCTTCTAAAGCCCCTCCTCGCTCTGATATACTATGTGCTAAGGATCTTTCCAACGATAACATTGTATGAATCTTTAATTCAAAAGCAAAGAAAGTCAAAGGAAGGTCAAATGTCTTCCTTGGGCTGCCTATGGAAAGAGGAATCCTGATTAATTCAGTCAGATAAACCATCCGATATTTTTGTTACCTGAAAACACAGTTCATTGTGGTTGGAAGGCATTCCTGTTATAATAAATGTTTGTTTACTGACTGACAACTGCCTCCCCGAGCTTTTCCTCTTAAATGTCAGAAAGACTTGATGTTGTGGCCAAAGGAATAGGTGAAGACTTCTCCAAACTCACGGTGGTGGAGTTGTAGTTCTCACCATTCCTACCTTATCTGACCTCTCTGAGCCTCGGTTTCCTTACTTGCATACTCTATTTGCCTCGTAAGGGTATTATGAATTAAATACATTATCAAAATGTGAATTGTGACTATTTCTACCTTCAAGTGATGGCATGAGGGAATAAGATACTTCAGGATTAGAGGAGAGGCTAAAGACCGCCCCCTCCAAATATTCATTGATCTGACATTTATTAAACTCTGTGGGCAAAACTCCATGAGGATGGTCAATGAGAACTAGCCCCTGCACTCAGGAAGCTTACATGGGTAAGACACAGACATGGACACGGACATGGACACAGACGCAGACACAGACACAGACGCAGAGAGCTTGGAGCCAGCAGGCATAGATTCAAATTCTGCCTCTGATGTTGACTCTGGATAAACCCCTTCTCCTTTTCTGAGTTCAGTTTCCTTATTTGCGAAGTGAGAGGACTGGGCTAGATATATCCAAGGTCTTATCCCAGTCCTAAAAATCTGTGATGTGACTTATAAATAACAAAGCCAAGGCAGAGGGTAAGCGGCTTGGGACTGGGTTTAAAAAAAGGGTTGTCTTGCTAAGAGCATGAGGTCTTTCCCCTTATCTAGAATTTTTAAAATGTTGGCTGCTACCATGTGACATGCTAGGAAGGTATGCCTGGCCATCTGGGAATCCTGAAGAAGAATGGAATCAGTGGGAGTCATGTAACCCCACCTCAGCCAATGGTAGTAAACATAAGCTTTCTGTAGGAAGGGTGAGATTAAAATAGCTTATACAATTCTCTTGGGACTGAAGAAATATAGCATTACATTCACCAAAATGCATATTCACTTACCTCCCCCCACACCCCCCCACTGCATTATCACTTTTAATGCTTCCAAGGAGCCCACATCACCAATGCTAGGATGAGAGCCAGAGAACGTAGCAGACCCCTTTAGCCTGGTCAGGGCAGCCCAAGTTCCCTGGCTCTCTAGAGGACAAAATAAACTCAGGACTTTTTGAGGCCCTAAGAGAGTTTAGCGGGATGGATCCTGAGGTCTCCACAAAAGACTCACATAATATTTTCTGATCGTAGTAGTACAAAGAACTCATTTATCTAAGGTCACTAAGGGCTTCCCTCACAATGACTGTGAAGTCTGAGGCTTGAGGATTGTTATCTCTATTTTACAGATAAGGAAACTGAGTCTGAGAAAGAGACAGAAACAGAGAGAGAGAGAGCAGAGAGTGGAGCGAGGACCTTCGGGATCACCTCAAATTTCACCAATGAGGGAGGTGAGGCCCTTCGAGTATATATTACTTGATCAGACATCCACGTGTTATGTGGAGGAGCTGGGATTTGAACCCGAGGTGTCTGATTGGTCATTATTTCCGTTATTCTGTTGTTGTTTGTCCTTCATTCTCAAAGAGGACCATGACATCAGGGAGGTAATGCCATGACTTGCAAGGGAACCAGATTTAAGTGAGGCAGGGCTGTGCAGTCACCAGCCTCCCTTTCTCCTCCAGAGCCATCTGGGTCCAGTGGCCAGATATTGATTGGGGTGACTGGAGATGACCCCCTCTCCATTGTGCTACTGAAGTGATTAGACAAAGGCCACATGGTTAGTGAACCTGAGTCTCTTGTCACCAAGTTCAGCATTTGATGGACTGTGTTTCTGTAGGACTTGAAAGTTCACAAGGCACTTTCTTCATGCCGGCTTGCTGATGTAGGCATTGAAAATTGCCTCAGTTTTAGAGTTGGAAGATCTGCTACATTATAGAGGAGCATAGGTGGTAGTGTGATGGATAGAGTGGTGGACCTAGAGTCAGGAAGACCTGAGTTCAAATCCAGCCTTAGAGTCTTACTAGATGTATAAACCTTTCACGTTGTCTTCCTCAGTTTCCTCATCTGTGAAATGGGTATAATAATGGTATCTACCTTGCAGGTTTGTCGTGAGGATCAAGTAAGATGATAATTATAAAGCATGTAGCACAGTTCCTGGCACATAGTAAGCATCATGTAAGTATTAGCTGTTATCATCATCACCATTATTCTTAGAAGTAGATCTGGAAGGGACCTAAGAAGTCATCTAGTTCAGTCCTCTCATTTTGCAGATGAGAAAACTGAAGCAAAGGGAGGTTAGGTAACTTTGTTGGGGTTGGACAGATGAGATGGGATTTGAATTAAGGCCCAGAGAGCTGAGGCCCAGAGAAATAAAGACAGAGGTGGGATCTGAACCCAGGACCTCTCTGTTCTGGCAGAAACTAATGGTCAATTTGTCCTTGGACCCTCCTTATGCACTTGGCTCATGCACTCTCCAAGCCACAAGATCAGAGATTCATCAATAGATTGATAAGGTTTCTAGTATTAAACAAACCAACAATCACTCCAAACAAAGGACAATAACCTTTGAAACCCTCTTATTTTTGTAACATCCCTCCCCTCAAAATCCTGTCGTGGACAAATAAGTAACTATACTATGCTGGAAGTCTGGGGGTGATTTCAGACTGACAGTGAGGCCTGGGGAATCCTTCCCAAGAGAGAAAAGAATAGTGACTTCATACTCAGACTACTGGGCCCATTTCAGTGACCATGTATCAAAGTGACATAAACTGATCAATTTTTAACTGTGGAGGATGATGTGAACATTCCCAGCTACCTCTTGGAAATGCCAGATTCAGAGCTGTTGAGACTCTGGTTCCCATTTTTGGGGTGGTGGGTGCCACAGTATGAGGTTGGCCCATCATTCTGGGGTTCAAACAGATCTAACCATGTTTGGCCATCATTGCTATGCCTCAGACTTTCATCTCTCAACTTTTCCTAAATTGTATTTGCCAGCCAGGTACAGATGTGATTTGAAGTCATGCAGTATATTATGATTAAAAAAGAAAAAAAGAAAGACTCCACATTGCCACCCTGCCCCCGACTCCTGGTCCTCTGAGCCCAGGATCAATGTTCTTTCTCCTGTTACTTCCCTTAAATAGCATCTAGTTTAATTATTGAATTTTGTAGATGGCATCTAGTTTAATTATTGAATTTTGTAGATGGGGACTGAGGCCCAGAGAGAGAGATTAAGTGCTTTGCTGAAGGTCCTAGAGTGGATTAATACCTAGGCCTAGACATAAGCCTAGTACCACAATTTTCTAGTTCCTACGTCAAAGACTCTTCCCGCAAGGCCCTAGCAGCTGACTAAAACACCCTTTTCATATCTTGGCCTAATTAATTGGAATGCAACCCCATATCACCAATACTAGGATGAGAGCTAGAGAACTGAGCAGATTCCTTTAGCCTGGTTGGGACAGTACAAGTTCTGGAGGAAAAAAAACAAACTCAGATGGGACTTTTTGAGGCTTTAAGAGGGAAATTACTTTTTAAAAGTAAAGGATAGCTAGGTGGTGCAGTGGTTAGAGTGCCAGGCCTGGAGTCAGGAAGATTCCTCTTTGTGAGTTCAAATGTGGCCTCAGACATTTACTAGCTGTGTGGTCCTGGGAAAGTCACTTAACCCTGTTGGCCTCAGTTTCCTCATCTGCAAAATGAGCTGGAGAAGGAAATGGCAAACCGCTCCAGTATCTTTGCCAAGAAAATCCCAAAATGGGGTCATGAAGAGTCAGACATGACTGAAAATAACTGAACAGAAACATAGTAAAAGATAAGTACACTGGAAAGAGCACTGACTCTGGAGTCAGAAGATCTGGGTTCAAATACTACCTCTGACTCTTACTACATGAGTTTCCTCATATGTACAGTGAGGGGACTAGATTAGGTGGCCTCTGAGGGCCCTCCCATCCTTGTGGTCCTATGATCTTGTAATATATACCTTGCTCAGAAGAAAAGGAAGAAGGTCATTATGGGTGGCTAATCTGGTCAAAAGTTATAGAGAGGTCTAGAAGGATGAGGACTGAGAAAAGGCCATTAGATTTGGCCACAAGAGATCACTGGTTACTTTTGAGAGAGTAGGTTCAGTGGAGTAATGAGTGGGGAGGCCAGATGGTAGAGAATGAAGAAGAGTGGGAGAGGAAATAATGGTAGACTGCGTTCTCAAGGAGCTTAGCCACAAAGGGAGGAGAGATAAAGGAGAATAACTAGCAGGGGTGGACAGATGGAGTAAGAGATTTTTGTGGACGAGGAAACATGGCTGTGTT